CGGTCTTTAAACGTCGTTCTTCTACTTTTTTTTTTGTTTTTGTTTTTGGCGTCTGTGTGTTTTTGTGTTGCTTGTGCGTGTGTGTTTGTGTTTGTGTTTGTGTTTGTGTTTGTGTTTTCTTTTTCCTTCTTTCTTTGGTCTTGCAGGTTTTCTTCCTCTGCATCTATTCGTCGCACTCTCCCTACTAATTTCTCTCTTTCTCTCTCGGCGTGGACGGAGGCGAGTGCGTCGTGCCCCTCGTGCGGCGGCGGTTGCGTGTTTTTGTTCTCGCCCTTCTTTCGCCGCAGCCCCCCCTCTTCCCCGTCCATTTTTTTTTAATTGTGTCATCGTCTTTCCTCCGCGTCACGCAAAGTCAACAGCAACAAAAACAGGAAGAAGGAAAAGAAAAGGAGAAGGGCGCGGCGCCGCTGCCTGTCTGCCCACGTGTCTGCCCACGTGTCTGCCCACGTGTCTGCCCACGTGTCTGCCCACGTGTCTGCCCACGTGTCTGCCACACGCACACACACACACACGGCAGCGGCGGCAGACAAAAAAAAAAGGAAAAAAAACAAAAAAAGTGCGGGGGCGTGCCGCTGCGTGTTGCTTCCCGGCTTCCGGGGCGCCGCTGAGGACTGGGCGGCCATGAGCCGCGTCGACGGCGTCGCGTGCGCGCCGGGGAGGCGAGCCTCGAACCCGAGTAAAACGCCCACTTTCGGCGGTGCCTTACGTCCCGGCAAAGTGGCCAGCGGCAGGGCGGGAGGCAGCGCGCAAGGGACACGGGCCGCCTGCAGCTGCTTCCACTACTCCCGCTGCTCCTCCTCCACCAAGGGGGCCTCCCCCATGCAGGGCGCTGCCGCCGCCGCCGCCGCAGCAGCAGCAGCAGCAGGTGGCAAGTCCACCGGAAAGAGATGTAATGCCGTTTTCAATGCCCCGGTTCGCTACGTGCGGCTCACACCACGGGAGAGGCGTGAGCGACTCTACGCCTACTACGCGGCGAAAAAGATTCTTCAGGAGGAGACTACAGGGACCAACCCCACACCTGCGTCCTCCGACGCCTTTCCTCCTCCTCCGCCTGCGTCTGGAGACGTTGCTGACACTGACAACGCCACGAGTACTGCTGCTGGTGTTGCCTCTGAGGGAACGCTCAGAGATGCTGCCCTTGACGCAAGGGAGCCCGCCTCCAAAAACATGGGGGCAGAGGCAGCCGCCAGGAATGAACATTTGTGTTCCACAGACGGGCAAATGCCGCGTTGCAAGGACCCGGCGAGTGCCGAGAGGCGGTTGCGCGAGCAGCTTCACTACCTCGTTGACCTCTACGAGAAATACTACGGAAAGGCAACGCTGGAGTGGTGCAATCGAACCTTTCCGGTGCCTGTGCTCTCGCAGCTTGTACCAGATCCGGACGAACCCCAGCAGCAGCAACAGGCGGGGGAGGAGGAGGAGGAGGAGGCAAAGGCGGAAGCAGCCGGTTCCTCCGCAAACGCTTCCTCGCGGAGTAACGTGTCATCACCGGCAGCTGGGGATGACGAGGAGGCAAGGAATTTGGATTTTACGCTCTCTGCCCGGCACGGGGAGTCGATTGCGATGATGGCTAAGATGCCCTCGTCGTATCGGCTGGGCTTGCCGGAGATCCTCCGAAACGACGACGAACGTGTCGACGAGGCGCCGCGTGACCCACTCGTCATTGAGCAGGAGCGCCGCACTCAAGCGGTACGGCGACACATCCAGCAGACACTTCGAAGCCTTGATTTGGGCTCGCGGCAGTCGGTACAGGAAAGAGGCGATGAAACCAGCGGGACCTGGGCTGCGGCAGGCTTCAAAGCCCACCACCTTGAGGGCATGGCAGGCGTCTGTGAGACGCTGCTTGATACGCCGGTGGAAGCAACCCCGCACAGCCATGTCAAGCGGCTGCTAAAATTCCTTTGGGAGGAACCCGCGTTGCAAAAGTGCGCCGAGGCTGCCGCGCGCCTGGTGACCTATGTCCTCATGCGTTCGCTCCCCGTGGAGCTGTATGAGGGGGATCCGGAGGACTACCGCGCCCTGCGTGAGCGCAGCCGGGCGGCGTCTGCTGCTTCGTGCGGGAAGAGGCAAGAGACAGCCGCGGAGAGTGATTGGAGGCCCTCGTCTTCACGAGCACCCTCACCCCGGCCAACGCATCCGTTCTGTGGCTCCTGTGGCTTTAGTGGAGTTCTCTCAGAGACGAATACGACGCTGGCGGCATGCAGCTCGGAAGCCGGGGTTGATGACCGCTACTTTCTTCACCAGGATTCCATGTCACTCACGCAGGCGCTGCAAAGCGTGGCCCTTCGCAAGGGCATCTGGCTCTCCTCCACTGTTCCCGTGATGCAGCGTCCGCCTCTGCATGCCTGCGGGCTTCCAATGCGCACGGCACGTCACATCGCATTATGGCAGCGCCCTCCCAATTTTGCCAAGAGCGCCACGCTACAAAGCCGGGAGCGGTTTATGGATGGCACGTCCAATACGGCTACTACTACTACTACAATTCGCAAGAGCAGTTGCAAGTCGCGAGCAACGGCGTCTCGAGAGAAGGATGACTGGCGCCCAAAGACGCTCGCACCACTGCTTATTATTGCCTTTGGCGGATACGGCGTGGCGCCGTTTAGTACATATGAGACGCCCATGTCATCGGACGAGGCACGGCACGACAATGGGGATTTTGCTTCCGCATGGGATCACGAGACCGTTGAAGGGGGGAATAACACGCTCCTGTCCGCAATGAATAACTTTATGCATCCAGAACCCGCGCTACTGCCACTGCAGTCTGTTATGCAAGTCATTCTCCAGAGCGTGCGCCTAAATCGATTGATACGTACGGAAGAGTTCACTGATGCCTTCCCACCTGTCACGTTTGAACTCCTAGCGGATGTGGTGCATAGCTATAGAGCTTTTTTTCAAACTATCCTGTCCGTGTCGTTTGAGGCAGACTCATCTCGGTCCTTCTTTGTTCGCACCTACCGTGAGACACTGATGAGCTGGGCTTCCATTGTTATCTGTGAGGCTGCCATTGGGCACGCTGCGGAACGGGCTGGACAGGGACCTTCGAAGTTGCAGTGGACGGCTGGAATTATGCCAGAGAAGTTTACGGAGGAGCAGCTTGAGCAGATTGTGCTTTCCGGCCTCGTCGAGAGGACGTTCCCGAGTATGACGCAGTGGGAGTACGACGAGCGACTCTTCTTCCGCACCGTCGACACACTTCGTTCGGTGGTTCTTGAAACCGTGGGGCGCGTTAAGGGCGAATTGTATTTTCTCATGACGGGCCTGGATAGCCGTAATGCCGTCCTGGAGCAGTACCGTGAAATGCTGAGTCAGTACCGCGCGACGGAGGCGGCGATGATGGCGGAGGCGGAGGAGCGCCTGCAGGCGCGACTGCACGGCGAGAGAGGGAGCGCCGCGAACTCGGGGAGCATCACGCAGGCGGGGATGCAGGGGGAGCGGGCAAAGACGCAGTCACTGCCGCAGCCTCAGTCGGCCCCCGCAAAGGAGCGAACATCCTCCATGAACTACCACATTGGCCTCCGCCGTAAGCGTCGTCCAGAGGCGATACCGACACCTCCGTTCTCTGAAAGGGACTTTGATGCAAACAACTGCACCAGTTACGATTGCTTTCGCTTGGCACCCGCCTTGATGCCGTGGCAGCCCGGGTACAAGTCCCACAAGGCCCATCGATACTTGCATGAGGACAGTGTCCTTGGCGACAGCAATTCGCCTTTGTACCAGCCAATGCCGAGGCACTCACGCGAGTGCACGACAAACATTTCACAGGAGGCACACTCCTTTGCCACATGCACGTACCCGTCTTTGTTTGCGGCACAGGAACCAACTGCGTCGAGAAATGATGCCTCAGCTACAGCCTTCTCTCAGTCAGGAAAAAAGTCCGGGACGCCGAAGCCGACGCAGGCAAAGCGACAGACGTTGGCGGGATCGGCGATGCTGCGCGCATACACGCCGGGTGCCCAATCCGGCCGGTCCATCCGACAGCCGAGTAAATCGGAACTCCCGGAAGGCCTGACACTGCGGGCTGTGCGACGGGAACTCGTATCCCTGAAATTTCAGCAGCGGCGATCGGCGGAGAGGTCGGGTAATGCGCCGCGTAATTTGTCGCCCGGTTCCTTCTCACCCGCCCCAGCGAAGACGGCGTCCAGCGCCGCCGCACCCGGCGACACCCCGGACCGCGCCCGCGAACGCGAACGCAGCCTGAGCCCTACGGCGGGGGGCGTTGCTGGGACAGTGCCTTCCCCGCCAACATTGGGGCCTCGATCAAATTTTCCTACTGCTTCCACGCCCGATGCGGCAGCGGCGCGGCCCAAGGGTGATGATGCGACACTTGCCGGCCTCGTTGGCTCCAAGCAGGCGGCCTCCGTTGCGCGACTACGCCGAGCCTGCGAGAACACGGCTCAGTTTTACCTGCACTTTCAGAATGCACTGAACGAGGATGGAGCTTCCACGCGACGCAGACGACCGGAGGCGCCGTGGTACTCCACGGGTAGCTTGAACTTCTACGAGCGTCGCGCGGTTGCGGTGATTAGGCGCTCGCGGCAGGTCGCGGCGTTTGACTTGCGCCACCTCTCGCCCATCACGGCCCTGGAGAGGTGCGTGCAGTGGCCTTCCCACAGTCCACCGCCACGCCACACCGCTGGCGCCGAGGAGGGGGAGGAGCGGCTAGACGGGCGGGGAGGGGACAGACGACGGCAATTCTCTGCGTCGCGTTCGCCGTCGCCGCCCGCGCCGGCGCGCGAGGGCGTACACCCGGCCGTGGGCTCCCTCAAACCAAAAGAATTGAATTTGGGGGTGACGATTGTGCCGTGGACGCTGTAGCCCGCAGGTGGGTGCGCCTTCCTCCCCAGCCGCCACGTCAGTTTTTTTTTTTTTGTTTTGTGGATTTCCATTCTGTTTTCTCCCTACGTTTCTTCGTCTGGGGCCTAAATTCGTGTGCCACGCCTATTTTATCTCATCCGCCTCCCTCTTTTTTTCTTCTTGTTCCAGTTCCGCGCTGCTGCCTCCCGTCGCAGGTGGGCGCGATGTGGGCGGCCGGCAGAGCGCGCGCGCGCGCGCGGTTTTTCCTTTTCTTTTTCTCTTCCTGCTTTTACCGTTTTGCTTTGGTCGTTCCACGACGCGGGCGGCGCAGACGTCCCCGCACGCGACAAAAAACACGACAAAACAAGCAAAACAAAAAAGCCGGACGTGGCAGAGTGAAGAGGGACAAAAGACAAAGAGATGTAAATTTTATAATATATATATATATATGCACGTATATATATGTGTATATTATACATACATATAGCACGAAGAGCGGTTCCACGACGAGGGACTAATCCTTTCCCCTTTTTTTTTCTCTTTTTTCTGGCCTGTCAGTCCTCGTCGTAACTCCGACTGCCTTTCTTTCTTTCTTTCTTTCTTTTTCTTCCCCCTTCTTTTTTTTTTGTATTGTGTTTGCTTTTTTTACTCCTTGTCCTGGGCAAGGTGTGTCGGTGTGCGGGCTTCCTATCATCAATGAATGGTCACGTCGCAGACACACACGGGGGCGCGGAGAAACCGCCCACCCGACAACTCCCCTTGCAGACAGACATGCGAGGGTCGTTGCGTATGTACAGCTGTACGTCTGTAGTGCTTGCGTAGCCTTATGTATGTGTGTGTGTGTGTACGTGTGTGTGTACACACCGATGGATTGCGTCATGTCTCCCCTTGCTACGTTTTTTTTCCTTTATCTTTTTCTTTTGTTGTTGTTCGTTTGTTTGTTTGTTTTTTTTTGCCTCTCTGCCTCTCGTGGCGTTTATTTCTTCCTCTACCGTCCTTTGCCATTATAACTCCAACGCTGCTCTTTACGCTTCCTTTTTTCCCCCTTTTTTTTGCTTCTTTCCCATTCTCCTTTTCCTTTTGTACGCGGGCGTGTGTGTATGTGCGTCTTTGCTCTGCAATTTTTTCTGCTGCTGAGGGGAAGACCGCACGACGGACGCCAGAAAAGAGAGCGCAGAAGCGAGCGATACGAACGGGCGAGGACAAAACACACGCACACGTACGTACAGTGAGAAATAGAACGAAAGAGAAAGAGGGCCAGTAGTTAAAGTCTTGTTTTTCTTCTGACTCCCCTGGCGGGAGGCACAGGCAAGGCGCGGCAGCGGGCGGGTTGATAGTGGCAGGGGGCAACACGGACGATGCCCTCGTCCTCGCAAATGAAGAAGGAGGAGGCGGAGCTTCGCAAGATAGCCAAGCACGCGCGACTCTCCCGCAAGGAGGAGGCGGCAAAGGAACGCCAGAGGGAGCGGCGCGGGAGGAGTGTCGTGGAACCCACCGCCGCCGCAACAAGCGGCAGCAGCCGCAGGCGAAGGGGCGCCCTTATCTTGCCAGCGGAGGTGGAGGAGCTGCGGCGGCGGCTGCTGCTGGCTGACGACGCCCCGGGCGCCGCGGCATCGGGGGGCGCGGCGGGTAGCGGCGTGAAGGCGGCCGAGGGGACGAGGAAGCAGCGGACGAAGCGGCCGCGGACCGCCCCCGCCGCGGCGTCCGCATCGCGGGGTCCTCGCCTCGAGGAGCCGCCGTACGGCATGGAGGTGCACCACAAGAAGAAGCAAATTATTGTGACGGTGACCCTGCACCACGTCCCCTCGGCACACGTAGACGTTAGCGAGACGACGGATGAGAGGCTCGTCGTCGACACGAGCAAGCACACAAAGAAGTACCGACTGGAGCTGCCCATACCGGACGGAATGCGGGTGAACGCCGAGGCGGCGGAGTACGAGATGGACGCTGACATGGGCGTGCTCACCTGCGTGCTGCCCATCAGGGGCGACGTTGCCGCGTCGCTGCAGGCAGAGCGGGCGAAGATGCTGGACGACATACGGAGGCAAAAGTCCCTGCGCTTCCGCATTGGCGCCGACGGAGAGCTGAAGGTGCGTAGTCGCCGGGCTCTGCTGGCAAAGAACGAGCGGGCACAGGCGGCTCTGATGCAGGAGGAAAGGGGGGAAAGGGAGCAGCTTGAGCCGGAAGCCGTCGTAGCCAAGGAAGCCAGGGAGGAGGAGAAGGAAGCAGCCGCGGTCACGGCCGCAGCAGGCGCCGCGGGCACGCGGAAGGCGCAGAAGGCCAGGAAGGAAGCTGCGCCCGAGGAGGACGAAGAGCCGCCGAAGAAGCGCAGCAAAAAAGAGACGGCCCCAGCGTCTCGCGGCGGGACGGCAAAAGAGCAGGACTCCCAGAAGGGCAACGGCGCCAGCAAGAAGCAGCCGGAACGACAACCGCCGCGGTCGACTGCCGCTCAGAAGGCGGCTGCTGGCGGTGTATTCGACGAGGAACACAAGAAGGCGATGGAAATCGCCAAGTCTGCCGGAAAGGCCGCGCGGATGACGCTGCGGCAGGGCATCGCACACGCCAAGGCACTGCAAAAAAAGATACAGGAGCGTCTTTCTCTGCGCAGCTCCCGCCGCAGCCTGCGGTCAGAGCGGACGCAGGACTCCTTTGCTCGTATTCTAGAGGAGCAGAAACGACAGCTGCTGGCACGTGCCGAGTTGAATGCCTCGATAGCGGCGTCAGAGAAAAAGGCGGGGGCGGGCCGAAAGGGGAGTGGCAAGACCGTCACGTTTGCAGCCGCAGAGGAGTAGCTGGGGCGGAGGACACAACAGGAGGTGACTGCAGCGCGAGTGCCAGTTGGCTGACTCAAGTGGAGAAGGCAGCGTCGTTGCGGCCGCAACGATGTACGCGCATGTGCGTGCGTGCGTGCATGTGTGCAAGTCTGTGACCGTCTGTTGTTGGTGTGGCCTAAAGAGAGAAGAATCTGAAAAAAAAGAAAAGAAAAAAAAGACAAAAAAAAACTCCATTAAGGCACATGAGGAGCGAGAGAGAGAGAGAGACTGTGTGCATACATGCCCGTTTAACGGAATAATTCTTTTGGAAGCAACCCGAGTAACGACTCGATAAAGGGGATAGGTGAGGGGCATGTGAGCGACGCACGCGGGCGCTGTGCGAACTGGGGAAGCAAAAAGCATCGGGGCCAACGTAGAAGAGGCGGGAGGGCAGATCTTTGCGGTTCTTTTTTTTTGTCGTGCGCTTTTTTAATTTTTGCTTTCCTCGTACGCCCCCTCGCTTGCGCGGCCGCTGCGTGTGTGTGTGTGTATGCCGTCGAACCGGCTGTCTCAATTTCCCCGCCTCTGCTCTTTCTGCAGTGGGCGTGTGTGCCCGGCGTGACACACTCTTCCCTCCACGACGTCGGCGGGGCAGGTGGGTTGTCGCCATTTCTCTCACTTTCTATTTGCACTTCCGCCTTCCTGTGTGTGTGTGTTTTCTTTTTCTTAAATCTTCTTCTTTTTTTCCCCCTGCGTTCCTCTTCACTTCTGCTTCTTCCCCCACCACTTGTGCAGCGGCTATGCGGAGGACGCGGCGGCGCCTCTCCACCGGCACCACCGAGATCCCCGAACATGCGGCAGAGCCCCAGCCCCGCGGCGGGGGAGTTCCTTCGCCGCAGGCATGGGCCCCGTCGGACGCCGTCGCCGCGCCGCCGGACGCGGGCAGTTGGGCCGGTAACGACGCGGAGCCCCCACTGAAGCGCTTCAGACTCCCAGAAAAGCTGTTGACCCGCCTCGGACAGGCTCCGGCGGCCGCTGAGGGGAACGCAGAGGGTGGCGCCAACATTGAAATTGACGTCGCCGCGGTCATCCGTTCGAAACGTCAGGCTGCAGCAGAACATCGCGCGTCGGCGGGGGATGCTGCGACAGGTGACGACTGGCGGCCGTTGCTTTCGGTGCGCCGGCTTCCCCGGCAACCGCTTCTGCACGAGCAGGGACAGCAGCGCGGAGAAGCGCCAACTGCCCCGCACGAGCACTTTGAAAACAGCAACGATGACGTTATCCGCTTTGGAACGAAGTGCCGGGCGGAGGACGTCGACTCCTCCTCGACGGCGTCGTCCTGGTCGGAGGAAAAGGCGCGGGGCAACGCCGACGACGCGGGCGCGCGCGCGGAAAGGCGACGGAGGGAGATTGATCGCCACTTCGCCGGCTATGGCAGCGACGAGCTTGACTCCTCCAGTGGCACTCTCTCGGAGGAGGAGGAGGCAGAGGCAGAGGCAGAGGCAGAGGCCAGCGGGAGTGAAAGCAGTGAAAATGAGGACGGGGATGGGAAAGAGGAAGATGGAGATGAGGATAATAGTAATAATGATAAGAACGCCCCCGTAAGGGCGGGAGAATCCACAGGCTTTGGCCTCTTTGAACGCCGCCGCCAGCAGCAGCAAGCGAAAAAGCCGGGGACGCCCGGCCATGCGAACGCAAGCTGTGCTGCGACGAACCACACCCATGACCGCCGCTATCGCTACAGTTCCATGTTCTTTGAAATGCACGTGGGCCGCGAGGGCGTGAGTCCATGCCACCACACACTTCTCTGTCTGAACGGACCAATCACTGTTCAAGGCCCTTCTGGCGTCATTGGTTTTGGCATGGGCGAGGTTGCCGTTGGGGGCTTCTTCCTTGGCAAGAAACATGTTGTGCTTCTCACGGACGCCGACAGGGTTGTTTTGACGCCCGTGCAACGCCTCAAAAGCAAGAGTGCGGGTTTGGAGTCGTTGCCGTTGCCAGCGCCATTCTCGTGCAAGGCTGGCTCCTTGCCTTGCACGGTCGTGCCCCCAACGGCCAGAGAAACTTGTGAGGATGCGGTGGACGAGAATGATGTGGAGCTGTTTGGCACGATTGATTGGGCTTGGGTTGAGACAACCATTGCTTCGTGGCGGGGACGGTTTGCGAACAAGATGCCAAACATTGTACTGGTTGTGCAGCCGTATGATCCCTGTGGTGTGCCTCCTACACGCCGGCATCGCCTTAAAGGGAAGGAGAAACATTTAATCGACGCCTTTATGGATCTCCCACGCTTTGTGGCGCGTGGGCATGATCCCGGCATTGACGCGGCCTTGTTGCCGGAGGTGATTCCCACGATTCTGAAGCAGAGCCCCGGCACGGTGGTTGTGTTGGGATCACAGAACATTGGCAAGTCGACGCTCGCGCGGTTTCTTGCCAATGCCCTGTTTTCGCAGCATGGCGTCTGTTACTGGTTGGACTTGGATCTTGGGCAGCCGGAGTTTTCTCCACCCGGGGTAATTTCCCTGTATTGCGTGCAGCACCCGCTACTGCGCCCACGCGACACGTCTAAAGTTAAACTTGTGCGAAGTTTTTTTCTCGGTGGGTCGCGTCCGCGTTGCCCGAAGGCAACGGCGATCGCCATTGAGCAGCTTTGCGCCATTGCGGAGCCACTGCAGCGGCGCTACCCCGTTGTGGTGAACACGCACGGATGGGTGCTTAGCACAGGCCGGCGCATGACGGTGGAGGCGATACGCCGCCTACGACCCAAGCACGTTGTTCACCTAGTGACGGAAGGGGACACACGCTGGGCACGCGACAGTGAGTTGCTCATGTGTCCAACCAACGGCCTAAATTCGGAGGTTCTGCACAAACGGTTTCTTGTGCGCTGTGCCACGCTAGCAGGCGTTGAGGGAAACGTATACGACGTCATTGGACGGCTTCCCTTCCCGCATCCTGCCATGAATAGACAGGAGGCCGCCGCCGCCGCCGCCGCCGGATGGTGTGGGACGGTGCATACGGCAACTGTGACAAGGGACGCGGGATCGACGCGGCCCAAGCCCTCTGCCGTCCGCTGTGCCCTCTGGCAGCAGCACTTGGCGCCCCTATTCCGCTACTATGAGGCGCTGGAGGAGGAGCGGCGGCGGCGGCAGACGGGTGCGACGCCGCCGCCCTTGGAAGAATTGGGTGCCGCAACCACGTTGTTCAAGGGACCTTTGGCGCAGTTCGACGCGATCGTGCTTGCAGACGTGGAGGGTGCCCGGGACCTGACCGACGACGTTGTGTGTGCGGCGCTGGAGCACAGCGTTGTGGCACTCTCTTTCTCTCTCGTGGCCGCCGCGCCGCCTTCTGTGCCTGCGGCCCAGCAGCAGCAGGAACTTCCGTCGCCCGGGGCACCCGGGAACTACCGCTGCCTAAGCGGCATGCCCGACGGCTTTTCCCTCTCCTGCTTTGGCTTTGTGGAGAGCACCGAGGCGGAGATGCGAGCCTCGGGGGAGGCGCGGATCCGGCTGCCGTACCGCCGCGAAGTTGTGCGCCAGATGCTCTCGACGGACGACGCCACGACGCGCGTCGGCGTCTCCCTCGCGTGCTCGTCGTCCGACCGCGCCGACACCGCGGCGCTGGAGGCGTACTTTTAGTTCGGCGAGTACCGTGGAAGAAAAAGGCGTAGCAGAAAACGAAGTAACAAAAAAAAACTAAGATAAAAAAAAGGTCATGAACGGAATGAGAGTGGGGGGAGCGAGGGCACACAGACACCACGCAACGAGGCAAAATATGTGCCTCCTCAGCACTCACCTTTTTTCTTTTTTCCCTCCTTAAATGCTTTTCTTCACCCACGATGGAAGGAGGAGACGGCGGAAGGCGGTGCCGCTGCGCTTGAAGCTCCCGTTGCACGCAGCCTCCCCTCCCAACAAACACCACAACACACAGAAAGCTGAACAGTTTCTTTGCGTTGTCTCGTGTAATTCCTTTGACGGCTCCACGTTGTTTTTGCCCCGCAGCTTCCTCTTCCTCCTCTTCCTCTTCCGTGCGGGGCGCAGTAACACGTCCAGTAATACAGGCTTATCTGTATTTGTATATCTGTCTGCGTCAGCATCATTTTTGTTTTTGTTTCGTCTTTTCCTTCCCCTGCCTTCTGTCTTACCCTCCCCGTGTGTTGTGTGCCCACTGCAAGGAGGAAAGAAGGCGAAGGAGCCGAGAGAGAGAGGGAGAGAGTTTGTGTGCGTCTCCGCTTTACTGGGGTTGTTGTGTGGGACCTGCCGCGGCGCCCCGGCCATCTGCGTGCGACCGGGTGATGTCAGGGCCGCCGTGGCCGCGGACGCTGTTAGTGTTGCCGCTTCTCCTTTTAGTTTTGCTTCCCGCCACCGCGACGTCCGCCGCCCCTTCCGTGACGCCCGGCAACGGCGAGGCTGAGGCGGAGGCGGAGGCGGAGGCGGTGGTTGATCCGCCGCCCCCGCATGCACCCGCCAACGCGACGGAGGCGCCGCAGCAGGCTTTCCTGCCGGTAGCGGA